ATTGTATTATCGGCCGAAATTATGAATCAATAAATTCTACTTTAAATAAAGGAGTCCAGATTTCGAAATACGATCGCAAATATCTCGAGATGGGCTGATCCAAAATTAATGAATGTAAGCTCATTGGATTCGTCTAGTCGCGAGAAATCGAATGATAGTTGTTTCATATGAATCAGTGCGATATTGACTGAGATCGTATATCTTTTGTTTTTTTTGTTTTTTTTATATATAAAAAATCATGTGATATGACGTAATTTTGACTATTTTGACTTTTCATTTCGACTTTTGGGTTTTCATTTCGACTTCATGTATAGTCAAGGCTATTAAAGATCAATGCATGTCTTTAATATATTATTTGACATCCAGAATGTTATTTGTGTCAAGAGCTAGAGGAAATATATATGGGTGAGTTTTATATTAGCAATGATTTTGTTGAGGTTAAAAACTATTTGTGGCTAGACGAAACTGGTTGGCTAAAGTTTTTGTTACAATAGACATTGTTTAAATATTAATAAAATTGAACTAACTTTTTTGGCAGCCTTTAAAGAGTCTGGGGTATCATATAGATGTTTTTTTTTTGCATAGATGTGATCAAACATAGGGTATTTCCCGTTTACTTGCTATTAAAGTTGTTGACTTAATAGCAGACCACAAAGAGTTCATATTAGCAAGATTGTGTGAAAGATCCTTAAATTGGTCTAGATTATAATGATTATAATAAAAGTTAGTATGTTCAGCAAAGTGAGACTACTGAGTTGGGTTCATAGCTTTAAAATTAGGAACATATCATTTATTTATTAAAGAACATGATGTAACATAAGATTGACATCTTATATCAGCAAAACTAGCAAAGATAATAATATGGTCTGATTTGTATATATTAGTAGTAGTAGTATCAATGCATGAATAAAGAAAGTCTGAAATGAGATTTGGAGAGGCAAAAATGGAATCAATATGTGTGTTTATTTGTTTTAAAAAAAAAGTGGATTGTGATGTATCATGACAAATGTCATATAAATCTAAAAAGTTTAGAGCAAATATTCTTTGATAAAAATTGTATCTTCAATGTAAAATTTGACTTTCATTAATATGGGTCTAATATTTTTAAGGTTAGCGTTAAAATCTTCTAAGAGAATGATTTTAAAATCTGATTTCAAACCATTCTTAATATAATTAAGTATTATTCTATGTAATTTAAGACGTTCAATTTTTGTTGAAGAGTTGCATTTGGCATGTAAATAAATTAAAAAGATTTTTAATTTGATGTGTCCAGTGAAAAAAAGATTTACGTAAATAAAACGGTCACTGTTTAAAAAGGTTTTTTGTACATATTTTAACTATATGCATTTTATAAGAAAGCTGATGCCAGTATGAATAATAGTAGAACTCCAAAATAAAGAAAAATTTGATTGTGCTTATTTTTATAAGTTTGGTTTAATTTGTGACAAGTTTAGTTAGACTGATAAAATCCGTATCAAGGTCTAGAAAAGTATCTTTTATAAGTTCATTTTTAAGGTCACATTGTAGGGAATAAACATTATGGGTAGCAAAAGAAATGGTGGGTGATTTATTTAAGATGATATTATTGTTGGTATAGGTGTCTAAATTATATGGAGAAATAATAATAATAATATTATTAATTATTATAGAAATTAAAGTAAGGGTGGCAATTATTGGAATAGTTTCTCAGTAAGAGATTGAAATAAGACCCCAAACTATACTAATAGAACTCACAAATGTAGTATGAACACGCAATTAAAATTATATTGTATGGTATAACTCGATTAATATTAATGTTAGAAAGATGAAATTACTACCATTAGATTACTTTCTGTTAGACGAATCCAATGGTATAAATTTCATTAACATTAAATCACTGGTTATTGAGATAATGGGATATGTAAGACAAGTAAATTTGTAAAAATAAGTAACTTTTGGCAAAGTTTACATATAAACTCTACGCAAACTCAAATGTGAGTTATATTAGTATAGTTCGGGATCCTTGTTTGGCACAATTTTGACTTATATGTTGCTGAATTAGGAAATTTAATATAGTTATATTTCATGATGGATGGAACATTATTTTTCTGAAATTCAGTAACTTCTTGCTTATCATATAATTTGTGCCATTTTGGACATACCACAAATTTATGAAAGCTATCTTGTAAGTCAAATATTTTTCTTGCCAAATAAAGTGAATTAGGAAAAGAATTGAATTCAGGATCACCAGTTTCTTTTAATACAAGCTTTATAAATTTATAAGTGACTTCATGACCATTCTGATAAATTGAACATTATACAAAAATTCATTATCCATATTAATATCCATAAAAATCTATCATTATTTTTCAATTGTGTGTTATTTGACTCTTGAAATGATGTAAACGAAGGATATGAATAGTCTTCGAATATTTCAGCAATATGATTATTATTCAATTTATTATCACTTAGAGAAGGTTCACTTTCATCCATCTCATTTATTTCTAAATTCTCATAATCAGAGCCTTCAGCAGAAAGTTCGATGTTTCGATTTGCATATCTTGTATATCTTACATATTTTTGAGATATAGGATTGATGTTAGTATCTTCAGATATTTTGTTAATTCTCTTCTTCATGAGCATTTTCATTCACCATTTGTTTCATATATTGCTGAATTTCTTGTTGTTTGGTTATGATATCTGACAATGCCAGTTGCAAATTATCTGACTCTTCTTGAATTAAAACATCTTGAGTATTAGACAAAATATCTAAAGAATTATCTGGCATTTCTAATAAAGGATGTATCTGATCTTCTGATGGCCTATCAACTATGAGATATTTATGTCTTTACTTTATGCGTTGATCAACTAATGTATCATTACATCGACTACAATAACATATTTCTTTTAGTTTTTTTTATGATAATTTGAATTTAGTTGTGAATGATTATTGTTAGAATTTGTTCTTATTCTAAGCATTTTGTAAAGTTAAAGGATGAATTTTGATTTATTTGGTCAAGTTATAATTTATTAATTTTGCATATATATAAAAAAAAATATCAACATGCATATAAAATAGTTTATTTTTCTTTATACTATTATTATAACAAAAGTTTATTTTATTATTCAATGGAAAGTTTATTAAAAGTTTATTTTGAATTACATAAAAGGTAGTCTTTTTCCAAACTACCGTCTTTTTACTCTCTTGTTTTTGTTAAATTAATTACAACATAGGTACACAATAACTCATTCTGGAAAGCAATCATAAAACAACAAACATCCAGAAAATACTCCATATCGTTCTCGCACAGTAATGCTTGTTTTACCAGAAGAAAATAACAACTCTCCTCAACGTTAAAGAGCGAATAACAAATATCTAAAAATACTTCATATTGTTCTCGTATAATAATACCTGTTTTACCAGAAGAGAATGACAATTCTCCTTAATGTCAAAGAGCAAGATTGAGTGCTGAAAATTATAATTTAATGAACAACTGATCAAAAAGAAAGGAAGCTATCTAAAACCTTCAAGAAAGAGTATCTAGTCTTCGGGTATCAAACTATATTAAAATTATAGACAATCAAGCTTGTATTACAATCGGCTCTGGCAACAAGCTTATTAAAGGTCAATCTAATCTACTAATATGATTATCACCAATCTAATCTACTAATAATATAAATACTTTATTTTTTATACATACTGAATTCTGTCGACTTATTAATTTTATTTAGAGAATGAAAAGTTAATAAAAGAAATCAATCATTGGAAAGAATAAGCTCGATTCTAGCAGAATCAAAATGATAATTCTTTTAGGCAAGTTGAAAAAATTATAGAGAATATGAAATGCTTCAAGATGAAGAACAATGCATTAATTTTCATAAATAAAAAACTTGGAGTAATTAATTATGAATTGAGTGCAAAACTTGAGCAATCTAAGTTGCTTTATCGATCATTCTGTCAAATATCACGATCAACAGTTTTGACAGATGATGATGCGATGTTAAATGCTGATGATATAAAGGTCTCTCAATTAAAAAAAAGATAAAAGTTATATTAAAATCAAAGGGCAAAGTCAAAAAAACACATGTTGAACCCTAAGAATCAGATGATAAAGCAGCAAGGGTTTGCAAATTCATTCCTTTTAATATATTATAATGAATTTTATCTAATATATTTACCAATTTCTTTTTGTATTAGACTGAAATGAAAGAAATATTAAAAACATTATTGTCAGAATATGAAATGAGATACGATAAAGTTTTTAACAGCGTAGATAATAAGAAAATCCAGAAAAAATTAGTTCCAGAACTCTTGAGATCATTACAATCACCTTCATATCTCAAATTAAAAAAGTGGTTTTATGCTTTACATAAACACTGAAGAGATGGTTATTTTTTGGCACATAAAAGAGCTCAAGATCAGACCAACAGGCGGGTACACAATAATCATCAAGTATTAGAGGTATAAAATTCACTTACTGTACTATTCCAAAAATAAGCCTCCTTTTTTTGCTATAGAGGTTCTTATTTTCAGATAATTTTTAATAAAATTTATATTGGCAAAAAATTTCGTGATTTCGTGATTTGTGTGTAATATAATTTATTTTAAAATACAGATTCAACGCGTCAACATAATATAAATCACACGAACTTTCAAAAACTGGATTTAAAACTTGTTTTTTAAACCGTTCTGTATAACATACCACAACAAAAAAAAAAGCGCTGCAACGAAAGAAAAGAGGAGTTAAACGTTTTAAAAGTATTAAATGTTGTTGCAATTCTTATTCTATAAAAAAAAGCAACATGTTGTCAATTATACTATTGAAAATGGAAGAAATGAAGCTGCGAGACACTTTGAACTTGATAGTAATATGGTTAGTAAATGGATATAAGTAAGCAAAAAATGGTCTGACAAGAACCAAAATATTAAAAAAATTGGTTCTGAAAGGAAAGAATTTATTCCTGAAGCAGAAAAAAAACTTTACAATTGGATCATGGAATAAAAGAAAAAAGGATTAGGTGTTTCTTATATAACTGTATAAATCAAAATATTGGAAATTCTAAGGGAACCGGAAATGATAAGCATTTATGACAATTCTGTAGATTTTAAAACATCTAGCCGTTGGATGTCTAGTTTTATGAAAAGATACAGGTTATCTCGGTGGTATCATACTAAAATTTCCCAAAAGCTTCCTGCACAAACCAACGAATTGTTAAATAATTTTCAACAATATATTATCTGATTTCGAACTGAAAAATCCTATAAAATGGCCAACATTTTAAATATGGATGAAACTCCCGTCCGGTTTGATATAGCGGGAAACTTTACCATCGATCAAATAGGCAAAAAGACAATTCAAATCTGTGGAACTGGAAATGATAAAACCAATTTACCATCGTTTTGATGTGTGCTGCAGGTAGGTATATTTTCAAGGGTAGTTATCAGTGCAATCTGATTTATTATGGTAAACTTTTTTATTAAACAATATTTTAAATTATATAGATGGAACCAAATTTCTGCCAATTTGTATTTTTAAGGGCAAATGATTACCACGCGATGAATAGATTCCATCTGGTATTTTTGTTTGGTTTTAACAAAATAGGTGGATGAATACCGATTTAATGAAAAACTATGTTGATTATATTAAGAATCTAATTAATAATAGTCCAGCAATTATTGTGTATGATTTTTTTAGAGGCCATTTGGAAGAATCCGTCAAGAAAAAAATTCAGGATTACGGTTTTGACTTAGCGGTTATATCTGGTGGTCTAACTAGCATATGTCAACCATTGGATGTTACGATCAATAAGCCTTTCAGGAACAATCTGCGCAAAGAATTGCATTTATAGATGGTAAGAGAAGGAGCCAGAATGACTGCAGCAGGCAATCTTCATCATGCTAAATTATCCGATGTTTGTGGATGGGTTAAGCGGGCTTGGGAAAGTATTCCAGATAAAATGATTATAGAATCATTTAAAACTTGTAAAATATCAACTTGCTTAGATGGATCAAATGGTGAAAATGATGATGATGATATAATTGATAATGAATCTGATGATGTCGTTAGTAATAGATCTAATAATAATATTGTTAGTGATATAGATAGTTAAAACTTTAATTGTAAAGAATTTTACAGAGATTCATTTGGTAATAAAAATTATATGATAATTGGCAAAAGATTATAAAATCCCAAAATTATTTTACAGTAATACAATAAATTTTAAAATAAAAATTTACAAAAATATTATTAATCAATATTTTTATTATTTAATTATTATAAAAACTTTTTTTTAAAAAGATAATTTAACAACTTCAGAAGGGTGCTTATTTTCAGATCTGAATTAATTTAGGAGATGCTTATTTTGGGGGGTCTTATTTTCAGAATAGTATGGTACTTTTTATTTCATTAATAATATTCATTTTTTTATATATATAGAAAAGAGATCAATGAATAAGAGGAGCAAAAAGTTTATTTAATGAGAGAAACATCTGAATCTCAAAATATAATTAGAAAAAGATTATAAGAATATTTAAGAATACTGCTTACCATTCTCCTGAACTATCTAAAACTGATTCAGATAATGAAGAAAGATGTAAAATAATTGTATACAATTATTCCTGGCGTTCAATAAGATTTATTGAACATTTATGATTTTATATATTTGTTATTCTAAATACTAACTTTTTCTTTTATAAATGTAGTTAAAGAATTTCTTATGTGATATTTTCAAAAAACAGGCATTATCCCAACAATCATCCCAGTTGTCAAGAACTCAGTTTTATAATGATTTTCACTTCTACAAAGAATAATCACTACTAAAAAATGTGCTGAGTTGGGCTTGCAAACGAGAAAAACAATTAGATTTCAATAGAAGGTATATAATATCAAAAAAATGTAATTTTTAATCTGGTTGCTTTAGAAAATTTGAAATCAAGGTTTTTTTAATTAACGATAGCATAGATGAAATTCAAGTATCTAGCAATTATAATATCATGCTTAATTATAATGCCAAAGAAGAACATCAACATGACGAGTTTTCAATAACCAGTATGGTTAGAAATACTATAAGAGAAGCAGATTCTTGAGACTAAAGCGTAAATATACCTGATGATTTTCCTGAATATTTAACTGAAGATGAAAAATCAATTAGTAATGATTAAGTTTTTGAAAATTGAAATTTTTTTTTTGCTTTTTAAACAATTTAATATGTTTTTTTTTTGCTTTTATTAAATGATTATTAGAAAAATTTAATGTAAATTATATATAAAATAAATATAATTTTAATAATAACTGTTTAATAGCTAATTTAATAATAAAATTAAAATCTATAATACAATTAAATATAAATATATGATTTATGGTTGAATGTCAAAAATATTACATGATATAAGATCGAATTTTAAACTAATCATTAGTCTATTTTTTGTCTATACTTTATCTATGTTGATGAAATATCATACTGATTTTGGATAAACATTAACCAAATTTTCATAAATAAAAACTGATTCCTGAAGCCTAAAGATAGTCGAGAGGCATCTGAACTGTGCTAATCGACTATGTTTATCAGTTGGCTTTCAGCTCAGAATTTATTTAAAAATCAATTGGCTTTAAATACAATTTTAGCCTAAATCTAACCATCTGATTTTTACCAGAAATGTACAATTCAACTAGTGTATTGGAATATGAGTATTTATTTATTAAAAAAGATGAAGGGATAGTATCTTAATAGAATAATATCTAGATTCTATTTGATTTAAAGTCTACTAATTTGCATTTTTTTATTTAATAAAATATCATTTATAATAAAAATTATAAATTTGAAAATTATTTATACATATGATAACTTTATATATATTTGCTATTTCAAATAATTTTATTATTAACCCAATATATTGATATGAAATGCAGCTAGCCCAACTGAAATTAAATGGAAAAAGTGAACAGAACTGAAAACAAATCTCTATTAACTATTATTTTTTTTTCATAGCAAATAAACAATTTAGTAGTAATGTAATAATCATTCTAAATTCAGCATAGTTATACAGTATACAGTATCAATGATGTGCATTTTATGCTTCTAATGGTAAAAAATTTGATTGGAAGCTTCTAATCTAAATAATTTTATTAATAAATTGTACTTTCAAATCTTCTAAAGATGCTTCTAAAGATGCTTCCAATCTTCCAAGTGCACATCACTAGTTATACATATACATTTTTTTTAAAAATATTTTGAAGTTTTATTAATAAAATATTTTGAGAAATGTTATTTTTAGTAAGTTGTTCTTCTTTTTCTTTTTTGTTTATTCTTTATTTATTAGTTTGATTGATGATTAAAAATTTTTATTTTATTTTTTTATTTTTAGAAATTTAAAACTCTTTGTTTAATCTATATCAGTAAATTTAATAATATATAATATTACGTAAAATTTATATTCTATAATATTACAAAAACTTATAAGGCTGCTATAAGATTACGTAAATTGTATTTCATAATATTCTATAACATTATGACGTAGTATAAAGATGCTAGCTGAAACTCTCCCAAAATAATTTCATCATATCCCTTACTATGTTTTTAATATAGTTTTGATTAATTTCATGTTTTGGGGTTTTGTCATACCCCTCACTATATTTTAATATAGTTTCAGCTGTTTATTAATTACCTTTTTTGAATTTCGTTTCTCATCTTTAACATAGTATTATGTAATATTATAGAATATAAACTATGCGAAAATTTACAGCATAGTATTTCGTGTAATATTATTTCAAAACTTACAAAAATACAAAATTTTGAAAGTTTATAGCATAGTATTTCATAACATTACAGTGTAATATTCTGTAAAACTTATGATAATACAAAATTTTGAAAGTTTACAGTGTAGTATTTCATAACATTACAGTGTAATATTCTGTAAAATTTACAATAATACAAGAATTTCAGAAAGTTTACAGGTAGATTAACATAGTTTACGAAAATTTATATTGTCAATTCGTTTATAATATTTATTTTATACTTTTAGTCATGTAACATTTCGTAATTTATTGAGTTGTATGTATTTAAATTTATTTATTTATATATAAATTATGCTTTATTTAAAACAATTTGACAAATAATATGATATAAAAAAGAAAATATTACAAAAATAAGATTACAGTAGCAAATACCATCATAAGTCTCATAAAGTTAAACATTGATGAGAATTTTCTAAAATAAATGGTTGATAAATAAAGAAATTAAATGTTTAAATATTCGATGCTTCAAAAAATTTGCATGAAAGTAAAAAAAAAGACAATTAGTAGAATAGAAAAGTAAAAGAGAAACGGTTAGTAGAATAAAAAAGTAAAAAGAGAGAAAGTTAGTAGATTTAAAAAAGTAAAA